TCGGGGCCGAATTCTTCAACAACTGCCTGACTAAACACGTCCCAGTTGAGCTCACCATGAGTCTGACGGAACGCCCGCAGCCAGAGAGCAGCATGGCCGTTGACGTAGAGTGTTGTCGTGGCTACCCAGTTGTGTGGAGGCACACGGTAGAGTTCAATATACTCCAAGCAACGATCCAACCATACGTGTGGTGTGTCTTCATCCAAGCACGGGAAATGATGCTTGGGCGGCCTGATGGAGTACTCCTCGCGCAACACTGGCTATGGTACGCGTCCTGGAAATGCGAGGGCTTTGTCTGGCCTGGCGAGCAGTGGCGGACCGTCGCTGGTGAGAGGCGCTTACGAAACGAAGCCCGCGGCGGTTTGCGGTATGGGCAGAGAGCTTGGAGCTGGCGTGGCGCTCGGATCAAGCAGTGGTGGTGGTGGCTGACGCCCAACCTGCGTCGCAGGGGTTTGGAGCACCACCGCCGACAGATCTTCAACTTGTGAACCTGTGGATGGAGCCAACGACGCCGATGTGGACACGACCTTGCACACGCTGTCGTCGTTGTCAACGTCGTCCTGAGTGAGTCCGATCTGTTTTGCCAGGCTCCGCACCTCGTGGGTCACCTAGTTGTTGAAAGCAGTCTGTGCCTCTGCCCGCTTGTCCGCGAGCACTTTCTCCTCGGCGAATCTGGAGAAAGTGCTCGCGGAGGTTGGGAGCTACAACATCTGTGCTGAAGGCTTGGAGGGCGCCGTGTGAACCACCTAGAGCGGATCGAACCCCACATAGGATTTTGTGCGATCTCACTGGAGTGGAATCGCACCTTCGGTGGTGGATGTTACCGATCTGGTCAAGGGAGAAGGGATGCCGTGGTGCGAAGAAATTCTCGATGAGATCGAAGGCTCTAAATATCAATTGTGACAACCGACCGGGCTAGATAAATCGCACATGGAAGGATTTAGGGAGAGGAGAGGTATGAGACGAGATGAGGTAGGGAAGGGGATGGGATTTTCCTGAGCGTTATACTCGCTGTTGTGTCCAATAGGACCATACACGCACACGGCAACGCTTGGGCCACATGCGGCCCAAAGCTACCCACTGGGCTCAGCCCACCTCTTACACACTTCTCCTTCTCCTCCTTGTCTACCGCTACGCCAGCAACAGCCAGCGCTGGGAATAAAGGAAAAACATATTTCTACTTCATCAGAGTACTGCAAGAAGGAAGCACACCAACTATTTTTTTTGCGGGAAATCTTTCGATCTATTCATCTTCAATCATGGCAGTACAACGAATATCAAAAATAATAAAAATTACATCTAGATTCGTAGACCACCTAGCGACGACTACAAGCACTGAAGCGAGCCGAAGGCGCGCCGCCATCATCGCCCCTCCATCGTCAGAGTCAGGCACAACTTATTGTAGTAGACAGTCGGGATAAACACAAAGAAGCAACTAATTCAGACGCAGCTCAGGACGTAAACCAACAAGACCTTGCTTATGATTTTTTTTTAAGAAAAGAAACTTACGATATTAGAAATATAATAGGTCAGTCATTCGTATAATACCTTCCATGCATGGATTAAAACACTCCTATTTTATCCTAAAGCTCCGTAGCTTCAGCTTCTCCAGACTATGGCGGGCATTGAGCCCCTGGAATCCATTCAGTTTGGCAAGGTTGCCTTGGCACTGATATGGTCATTCAGTTTCCTCCATTCTACCGCAAATTTTGGTTAGTCTGCCAAAAAGCAGCCAATGGCTACTAAACTCACTATTGCAAGCGGAAGTCCTTTACATTTCTTTAGGATCAGATTTGCCTGTTCAACCAACTAGGGATACTGCTCATACAAATTCGTAGCCCTATCAAATACCTGAAATGGATACAAGTTAAGATTATAAGTATTTGTATCAATTATAATCAGTTATATGTGTTATAACTTATTTATATTGAATTAGTTTTCTATTTGTGGTAGTCAGGAACTGATTAGTTTGCATGTGTAAGTCACAATGTTCTAACCTTTGTTCGCTGGGAAAGATGCTCAGTAGTTAGTTAATAACATGACATCATGCTACTGTAGTTGGTCGCGATCTTGGTCTATTATGATTATATAAGTTGATTTCACTAACCAGCATGGTGGTAACGTCGAGTCTGAGTTGAGCACCGACCACTTTGCTCTTCATGTTGTCTCAAGGTTCGCCAATCTACCTTGAAGTTGCTAGAGACGGGCTCAAAGACAATCCATCATATGGTGGTCATTGTGGTGGCAAAGGATGCCGGCCAAGATCTCATCATTGCTCGAAAGGATGAATTTTGTGGACCTCACCATCTATTTCCCCGGTTCAGGTGAGACCTTGGTCTCCTCTCCCTCTCTGAGATGGTGCCGGCCATTGAGCAGATGACTTAGTGTTTGGACATGCATAGTAGAAAATCGTCTGGCAAACTATAGCCGCACGGAATGCATCATGGGAGTGTAACTTAACCACAGTATCCCATCTATTGAGGAACTTGTGCTTCTCGATTGTAACTTTATGAACATTGAATAAACTCCTTTTACCACGCAAAAAATCTGCGTCATTATAGCTGCATGGTCCGTTATATGAGTTGCGAATACGCCGTAGCCTATATCCATCCATAAATTTTAAGGTTTATGGATGTCACATAGAATATATGGGCGATATGTACATGATTATCAGAGAATTACCTGGTGTCATGTGACACCTGCTGGACATACATGGGTCTGCCTCCCGCCACCCACCCGTCGTTGTAGCGTCG